ATAAGACAGAAAGATACCAAATGCCCTTCAAAGAAATAATAGCTGCAAATTTCCCAGACCTGGAGAAGAGACTGAAATACAAGTCTAAGACACAAATAGAATACCTGATTACCGGGGCTGGAGTGATAGCACAGTGGGTAGGGCGTTTGCCCTTGCACACGGCCAACCCAGGTTCAATTCCCAGCATCCCATATGGTCCCGCGGGCACCGCCAGGAGTCATTCCTGAGTGCAGAGCCAGGAGTAACCCCTGAGCATCGCCGGGTGTGACCCAAAAAGCAAAAAAAAATAAATAAATAAAATAAATAAAAGAATACCTGATTACCTAAATGCAAAAAATATATACTAGTCCTCAGCAGGAAAACTATCAAGAATTCAAGACAAAGATATTCAAGGCAGTTTAGAGAGGGAAAGCACAAAATATGGACCAGATCTCTTTCTAGTCCCCTAAAGAATACTTTTAGATTATCAAGAGGGCAAACTTTAAGAAAAAATGTACTAAGACACTAGTTAGAATAGCATCCATTAATTTGCATTGGCTGTTTACCATACTATATCTAAAAGCGTATTTCAAATAATTCTGGGGCTGGATCTCGGGAGATAGTGTAAAGGCAGGAGCACATGCTCTGCAAGCAGGAGTTCTAGTTTCGATTTAGAGAGCATGTTCCCCCAAGCTCCATCATGTGTATTCCCACAATTACCACCCAAAACAAAAAGACACCTGAGCTGGGGATATAACTCAGTGGTACAGTGCAAGTTTAATAAATGTGAAACCCTAGGCTTGATCCCTAGGACCATTAAAAAAAATTCTCCCTGACTAGGATATTCTCCAAAATATCATAAAGATGGTCAGAAAATATTTTTCTTTGCAAAACAGACTAAAGAACCCATTTGTGTGCCAGGTGAAAAACAAAAATGTCATTCTCCTATACTATCTTCCAAACAGAACTTAGGGTTCAGAAAGGTTAGAACATGGCGTTCTAAGATTGTCATTATCTGGGCTGGAGCGATAGCATGGTAGGTAGGGCGTTTGCCTTTGCACGTGGTAGACCCAGGTTCAATTCCCAGCATCCCATATAGGCCCCTGAGCACCACCAGGAATAATTCCTAAGTGCAGGGCCAGGAGTAACCTCTGTGCATCACCGGGTGTGACCCCCAAAGAAGCAAAAAGAAAAAAAAAAGAGACTGTCATTATCTGTGGTTCCTATACAATGTAGAGGTCAACAGCACAAAAATTAATAGCAAACCATCAGTAGGGGTCAGTGAATGATGAATACTCTTTAGTTTTGGAAGTTCATAACTGGACCTTCTATTTCCCAGAATTTCTATTATCTCTTAATAGCATGATGTCCTGGTTGAAGAATAGTTCTGGAAACTGAAGGTAAAAACCAGAATGATTATGGAGTCCTTTTTTTTTTTCCTTTCTGGGTCACACCCGGCAATGCACAGGGGTTCCTCCTGGCTCTGTGCTCAGGAGTTACTCCTGGCGGTGCTCAGGGGACCATATGGGATGCTGGGAATCGAACCCGGGTCGGCCACATGCAAGGCAAACGCCCTACCCACTGTGCTATCTCTCCAGCCCCCATATGGAGTCCTTTCATGTTCCAGGACATAAAACTTCCTGAAACAGCTGCGTGTATTAGATCAAATACCTCAGTGTAGCACATGTGCAAGGCCTTCGATGTCTGTCTCTCTCTCCCTCTCTCTCTGTTCTCTCTCTCTCTCTCTCTCCACCACCATCACTTTGTTTTGCGGGAGCTAACCAAATTTAAAGTTCCTAATTGTTCACTGAAAAAGGAAGGTTGGGGTGGGGGCATGGAGTTAGTTTTTTTCGGCAAGGGGAACCAGAAAGCTAAATAAGTTTGGGAAACTTTGTTCTAAGTGAATGATTTTAAGAATTTGAGGGTAACATACCTGGTCATGCTCAGGGGTTACTTCTGGCTCTTGCACTCAGGGATCACTCCTGGCAGTGCTTGAGGGAACATATGGTAGGGTCTCAGGGATCAAACCTGGGTCAGACGCATGCAGGGCAAGTGCCTGATCCACTGTACTATTGCTTCAGCCCTAAGGAAACTATTTAAATGCGGGGGGCAGGAGTGATAATACAGTGGGTAGGTCACTTGCCCTGCACGCAGCTGACCCAGATTTGATCCTACAGCCCCATATGTTCCCACAAGCACTGCCAGGAGTGACCCCTGAGCTCAGAGCCAGGATAAATCCTGAGCATCATGGATGTGGCCCCCAAGCCAAAAAATATATAAAATAGAAATGCTTTTGTAAGAGATTAAGTTTCATACACAAGTAAAAAAGCTGCTGCACACACACAACACACACACACACACACAAATAAGTAAACAAAAAAGCTACTTAGTCCAAACACAATTTTTAAATTGTTTTCTCTCTGTTGTTCATCACTTTTTGATAGGTTTTGATGTTATTTCTTTTTAGTTTTTGGGCAAAACCACTGGTGTTCAAGCTTACTCATGGCTCTGTGCTCAGGGAATGTTCCTGGCAGGGCTCAGGGGCCCAATAGGCTGCAGGAGACTGAATCCGAGTGGTTATGTGCATGCCTTTACCAGCTGTACTCTTTCTCTGGTCCCTCTTTTTCTTTTCCTTTTTTGGTTTTTGGGAATACTGGGCAGCACTGAAGTTGCTCCTAAAGTGCACAGGTGTCCACATGGTACTATCAATTGAAGCCTGGAACCTAGACATCCTGCTGCAAAATGTGCATTCAGCCCCTTGAGCTCACCCTCTCTGGTCCTGATGCTTTTCTTAAATATAAAAAGCTGATACTAAAGTTCACAGTAATAAATTAACTACATCTGATTTCTTGGTTGTTGGTTTTGGTGGTTTTTTTTTTGGGGGGGGGCAGTGTTCAACGCTTACTCCTGGCTCTGCTCTCAGGGGATGATCACTCCTGGTGGGGCTCAGGGACCCATATGTGCAGTGCTGGGGATGAACTCAAGTTGGCTGCATACAAGACAAATGCTCTACCAGCTGTACTATCTTTCTAGTCACTCCTTTTTTTTTTTTTTTTTTGGTCTTTTTCTCTAAGAGATAAAGTACCTGGGAGTTTGACTTTCTAAATCTGTTATTTGACATAAAAATAGTGAGAAAAAAAAAAGAAAAAACTTACACAATAATATCACTTGCACCACCGATTCTAATGATGGGGTCACACTAACAAAACAAGGAAAACAGCATTTTTATATGCTTTGTACAATAAATAAAATGTAAACACAAAGTATTAGGATAGTATAAGCTTTACACATCCAAAATACAGTATAGATCACGGTCACGGTCCTCCCGTTGTTCATTGATTTGCTCGAGCGGGCCCAGTAACATCTCCATCGTGAGACTTCTTTGTCACTGTGTTTGGCATATCGAATACGTCACGGGGAGCTTGCCAGGCCCTGCCGTGCGGGCGAGATACTCTCGGTAGCTTGCCGGGCTCTCCGAGAGGGGCGGAGGAATCGAACACGGGTTGGCCATGTTGGCTGTGTGAAAGGCAAACGCCCTACCGCTGTGCTATCGCTCCAGCCCACAGTATAGATATTTATATAAAATGTATCTCCAAAATTCAATGATACTACAAACCACTTTTTCTTTATAAATTACACAATTCTATATCTTAATATAGAAATATGCTTTCTCTAACACTTAAAATTTTAGATAAAACATGCATTTATGCACTGTGGGAAGTAATTTTATATTCATAACTTTTTAGTAATTCTTTGCTAATAGTTCAATAAAAGGATATGACTGTGATAATATGAACAATTTCTTAGCTCGAGTAAAAGTACCATTTGAAAAATGTTAAATACCAAAGAAACAGTGTTCCATTGTTGTACAGGCTTCAATACTGAACATAAATAGGAAATCAAGGTTTCAAATATTCTGAGTTTTGACCACCAACTCTGTAGCACTGTATGGGCTCAGTAGAGGGTATTTATAAAGGCAAATTCTTAGATTACAATCCTTATTTGGTAATAAGATTACATACCATTATACAACAGTATTAAAAAAAATCATAGAACTCTTTTTTTAAAATTTCTGGTCTTTTCTTTTCTTTTTTTTTTTTTTTTTTGCCATACCAAACTACTCCTGCCTCTGTGCCACGAGTGGGGAATTGCTCACAGTTGTTTTGGGGGATCACGTAGTGCCAAACATCCACTCCAGACCTTTGAGCCATCTCCCCAGCCTTGAAGAATACTCTTCAAGAGCAAAATGTATTGTAACACATCTGAAAAGCTAGTACGGATATGTCTCTCAGCATTTTAAAGTCAATGTGCTAAATAATCTCCTTTTTAAATTTTAATCATGGTCTTTATAAAACTGGATAAACGTACAATCTAGAGACAAGAAAAGGACAAGAGAAGGCATTCCTGACTCAAAAATAAATAACATCTAAGATTACTAGGTGAGTTCTAAAAACATAGGAGTTCAATGTTTCATATCATACTATGTTTGGCTATTTTATAATTTTTGGCCAGCTTGTACTAGTTTCTTAAGATGTTAAATATCTTGGTTATTTAAAGAGAGCTTTAGGTATTGTTTTAATGACTTGAAAGGTTTCTCAAAGTGATGGTGTTTTTGTAGATTTATCAAATCCTGGGAGATTTCTAAATACTTGTAATAATTTCTTATTCTCCTCAAATACATAGAATCTTTCTAGAAAAGCATATACAACTAATTAAAACCTCTTAATATTTACTCACAGAAATTATATTTTTCTGCAATTTATAAAGAAGTTAATTTACAAACATAGATATAAATTAATCTATCATGAACATCTTGTTTTCATGTCTCTCATGACATACAATTACTTTAACACAGCATTTTTGTTCAAGTTTTTTCTTCTAACTAAAACCTCCAATTTGGGGAATATATATATATATATATATATATATATATATATATATATACACACACACACACACACACACATATATATACAGCTTGTTTAAAATATTTAAACAAATTATATATATTGGGTATATAATGGCTTATGTTAATATCTACTTTATTAACATTTTAACAGCTTAATATTTATTATTTTTATATATAATTAATAGTTAAATAACTGAATACTATTAATATTATTTAACAACTGTATTTTCAAGTTGTTATAAAGCTACTAGTCCACTGATATCTATTTCCAGTTTTTTCTTTTTGGGCTTTCTGTTCTTCTCGGTGATTAGTTGCCGTCCAAAATGTTATTTTTTTCAGTACTGGCTGCAGAAGTTTAGGCGGTAATAAAGATATCTGAGTCTCTAAAAGTAGAGCATTTCTACCAATGCAGTCAAGGCATAACCTGGAAACAAAACACAGCAGCATTACTGGTTTCTGATCCTGAAATAATAATATATCTAGAGATAAGAAGTATTAAATATAAAAATCATGACATTTGTACAGTATTAGGTACTTCCATGGTACTTTTAAATTTTTATTTTTTAACTTGAGTCACCGTGAGATACATAGTTACAAAGCTGTTCATGATCAGGTTTCAGTCATACAATGATCCAACACCCATCCCTCCACCAGTGTCCATTTCCCACCACCAATGACCCCAGTTTCCTTCCCGCCACCTCCCCCCCCAGCCTGCCTCTATGGCAGGCACCCATCTTTCTTCCTTCCTTCCTTCCTTCCCTCTCTCTTCTCTTCTTTTCCCTCCCTGCCCCCACTCTCTCTCTCCCCTACCCCCACTTTCTGGGCACCGCGGTGTCCAACACAGATACTGAGAGGTTATCTCCATGGCTCTTTTTGCACATGAGAGAATACATGCTCCTCCAGAGCATTACAGCACTGTAGCACTGTCCTCTCCTTGTTCATCAATTTGCTCAAGCGGGCACAAGTAACGTCTCACAACAAATTGTGAGACTTGTTGTTACTGTTTTTGGCATATTGAATACATCACGGGGAACTTGCCAAGCTTTGCTGGATGCCGGGCACTCCGAGAGGGGCGGAGGAATTGAATCCACATTGGCCATGTTGGCCGTGTGCAAGGCAAACGCCTTATCCGCTGTGCTATTGCTCCAGCCCAGAGCATTATAATGTGTGTATATTTAATTCTTTGTTTTTGTACTGGAGTCTCCCCAGTAGTGCTTGAGTGCCAGGAAGCTACTCCCTGCAGTCCAGGGACGCAGACTGGCAGGTCTGGTGGCACTGTTTGCCAGCAAGGTCACACAGCAGGATGCAGGGGCCACCAGATCTTTACCTGATCATGAAGGGAGGAATGTTGCTCCCCCAGCCCCAATACATGTATATTTTTATAGCACAAAGACTGTAACTGACCAGGATGTAATGGAAACAAAAACAACTTACCATGTATAGCACTGTTGCACTGTCCTCCCATTGTTCATCCGTTTGCTTGAGCAGGCACCAGTAATATCTCCACTGTGAGACTTGTTGTTGCTATTTTTGGCATATCAAATATGCCACGGGTAGCTTGCCTGGCTCTGCTGTGAGGGCGGGATAGTCTCGGTAGCTTGCCGGGCTCTCCGAGAGGGACGGAGGAAACAAACCCGGGTTGCCGTGTGCAAGGCAAATGCCCTACCTGCTGTGCTATCGCTCCAGCCCACCATGTATAAGTTAAGTAAAAAAAGATTCAGACTTAATTAAAAATATATTTACTTATTCTTTACTGCAGTGCTAGAGATGGAAGTGAGGAGCCCATAAAAGCAAAACATTACTCTATGCTGAACCACGCCCTAGGCTCCTGGTTGGGTTTTAAAGCGGACTATTTTGTACCATAAATGATTAGTCAATCATTTGCTAAAGAATACTGTTTTCTTTATCATAGATTCTTTGCTCAGAATCCCTATTTATCTGATATTGGATTCTTTAACATTTTGAAAATGAATAGTATCAGTTGAGGTATGCTATAAATATGAAATACCAGACTTTGACAGAATTAGTATTAAGTAAAGAAGTATTTCTTTAACAATGCTACTTTGTTTATATTGGGTAAAGGGAAATGAAGCTACATATACTGCTTTGGGGCTGATCCCAGCAGTGCTAAGAACACCATGCTGTTTAGGGTACTGATCCTGGGGCTCCTGTGTATAAAGAATACACTCTTCCTTTTGAGTGATTTCCCCCCAGTCCCGACCTCCAGTTATTAAAATTATAGCGAGAGTATCCCGCCCGCACAGCAGAGCCTGGCAAGCTCCCCGTGGCGTATTCGATATGCCAAACATAGTAACAATAGCAGGTCTCATTCCCCTGACCCTAAAAGAGCCTCCAGTACGGCAGTGTTGGGAAAAGACATAAGGATAAGCTACTAAAATCTCAGGGCTGGGATGAATGGAGATATTACTGGTGCCCACTCGAGTAAATCGATGAACAATGGGATGACAGTGACAGTGACCCTTTCCACTTATTGCTTCCAATCCAATAACTTTTTTAATTTTTTAAATTGAATCACCGTGAGATACAGTTAGACTTACAAATTTTCATTTTTACGTTTCAGTCATACAATGATGAGTACCCATCCCTCCACCAGTGCCTATTCTCCACCACCAATGTTCCCAGTATCCCTCCTGCCACTTCCCCCCCTCCCTTGCCTCTGTGGCAGGCACATTTCCTTACTTCTCTTTCCTTTTGGGTGTTATGGTTTGCAATAAAGGTACTAAGTGGCCAGCATGTTTGGTCCAATAACTCTTTACTCTGCTCTGAGAACTGCCTATCTGCTCCCCCTGAGATGAAGCAGATGATATCAATTTTCATAACACGTGACTATCCCCACCACTACCTTTAATGGCTGCCCTGGGTGACACAAAACTTAATCTGAGCAAGAGAGATTAGGTGTGAGGAGAGGAACTGTGCAGCAATAAAGAATCACCAGGACACCATGAACATACTCTCCTTCTGGGCGCCCAGAAACTCATTTTCCCCACGTTGATTCCATTGGATATCTATATCCTACCAAATATCTTTTTAACTTACTATTCTGAGCTGCGGTCTGTACTTTGATACAAAACAAACTGATTTAGAACTAGCATAAAAGCATCTATTTCAACAGGTAAAACTTTCAACCCAAAAGATAATTCTTTTCAGAAAATGGTTTTTGTGCCAGAGAGATAGTGCAGGGGGTAAAGTGTTTGCCTTGCACTCAGCTGGCCAGATTCCACCGGAGCATATCTGGTCACCCAAGCTCCTGGATTGCAGAGCTAGGACCAAGTCCTGAACACAGCAATATGTAGCGTCTCAACTCCTTCCCCTTATTACCCCCCCCCCCCAAATAAAAACCTAAAAAAGTTCCTGAGCTTCCACAGCAGGGGAAGAGTACTCCTTGTCATTATGTTCCTTCACTGACACCACACTGTCAGCATATTGTTTGGGGAGTAAAAACCCAACAGTGAGAAAAACCCCATTTCAATCTTCAAGGAGATTACAATTTAATGAAGAAATAAACAACAATATACTGTTACAAATATTGTGACTGTATTAAATAAAATTCTTATGACAGACAATGGTTCTTAGGTAGACAGTCAGGTAGAGGGCCCAGTGGCAGTAAATTTCAAAAAAAGATATGAAATCTTAAAACCAGTAAAAAATGTTTGGAGATGAAAGATTTTAAAATCCAGAAATGTTTGGAGAAACAAGATATATATTTAGAGCAATACAGATAGTACAGCAAGTGGGATGCTTCCCTTGCATGTGACCAACTGAGGTTCAATCTCCAGCACCATATACAGTTCCTAAGCCCTGCCAGGAGTGATTCCTGAGCACAGAGCCCGTAGTAAACCCTTAGCACTGCCAGATATGGCACCACCACCACACACACCAATTGGGGCTGGTCATATGCAGGGTAAGCATTTATCCTTCATGTTAACTCTCTGACTCAGTGTGTGTGTGTGTATGTGTGTGTGTGTGTGTGTGTGTGTCTCAATATATGCATACATATACATATATATGTGCGTACATATACACATATGTACACACATATATGTATATGTATATGTATGCCTCGGGGACCATACCTACCAGTATTGGTTCTGCACTCTGGAAATGATTCCAGGTGCTCAGGGACTATATGAGATGCCAGGGATAAACCCAGGTTGACCACATGCAAAACAAAAACCCTACCTGCTGTCCTATTTATCCAGCCCTAAATATCTTTTTTTCTTTTTTTTCAGTTTTTGGGCCATACCTGGTAATGCTCAGGGATCACTCCTGGTTCTTGCACTCAAGAATTACTCCTAGAAGTGCTCATATGGGATGCCAAGGATTGAAACCAGCCATCAGATGTGTGCAAGACAAGTACCTCATATGCTATCCTAGGTCTCTGGGCCCTGTATTTCTTAAATAATTTAAAAAGTCTCTTTGAAAAAAGAAAAAAATCCATTAATTAAGTGTATGTATATATGCCTATTAGATATATTCGAAATTCAAAAAAGTTAAAAACATGTTAAAATCAGTTTAAGGAACTAGAGTGATAGTACAGCAGGTAGAATGCTTGCCTTGCAACACAACCAACCCATATTTGTCGCCACCACCCCATATGGGACCCTGAGCCTGCCAGAAGTGATTCTTGAGTGCAGAGCCAGGAATAAGCCCAGAGAACAGCCAGGTGTGGTCCCCAAACAAAAACATCAGTTTAGATTCAAGGAAATAGTCTGCTTCATTCTCATATAAAATAAAAGCAATTTTACAAACAAAACAAAAATGTAATGACACAGCATATTTTATCTTTTCTAATTATACTGCTATATGGTTCACCACTACAAGTTTGAAAATACTCTTAAGAAGATGTAAATATCTTCTTAAATTCAAGTCACAAACTACCTGGAAAATATTAAAATAATTCCCAAAAATGGAGGAGGGAATTATTATACATTAATAATAGCACAGAAATAAAAATAAAGTATATCCTTACCTGAGCAGTGAATAAGGCTGTGTTTGAAATATCAACAAATCATTACAGTGACTCTAAAGAAAACAAAAAGAGAAATCACAAAGTTTTTTGATAAAAATAATGCGCTAATAATTGAGTGACTTTATTTTATAAACATTAAAACAACCATTTAAAGCAAATAAACCTCTATTCATACACATGCATAAGTACATACATATGTATATAATGTTTATATTTACTATCTACTCAAACTTTGGAGAAGTGTTACCATTACTCAGTAAATTTTACCTAAACACAGGCCTATTACTCATAATAAACCAGAAACATGCTTTTCTACATGAGCAATGAATTCAAAATAAGAATAGTGAGGTCAAAAAGATAGTGCATAACTTTTAAGGTATATACACTGTATGCAACTGGCCCTGATTCAAAATCTGGTACCAGATGGTCCCCAAAGCATCATGGGGTGCAGCACTGAAGCCCCCTGAGCATCATCAAATTTCCCTGTAGAAACGCCACTTCATTTGTAGGTACCCTACTCCTCAGAAACTGCTCTGGTGACTACTATGTCTGAAAAGCAGCAATGTAGCTGGCACCCTCCAGTTAGGAATCTAGCACATTGTGCGACTTCTGGTGGCTGGGTCCTGCTATGTACAAGCAACTTATGTAAGCCAGAGCAGCCACTCAACATCTGTTCTGCCTGTGGTCACCCTCTACTGAATTTTCCGGAGTGAAAGAACAAAATTCTTCCAAAGTTTGTCACTTCTTCCTTTGACCTTAGTTTTATCAGAGTTTAAAACTAGAACACTTTAAACTTAAATGTACGAGCCAAAGAAATAATTCAGGGGTGTAGGCACTTGCCTTTTATCCAGTTGAATCCACATATGGTTCTCCTAAGTACCATCAGAATTGATGGTGATGATCCCTGAACACAAAGTTAGTAGTAAATCTGAGCATATGCACTCAGTGGCCCAATTTCCCCCAAATTCAAATGTAAAACAGGGTGAAGCAATGACAAAAGATGCATAAAATACAAAGGAAACACACTTTAAACAAAATAGATTTCTCTTAAAAAGAAGCTAGTGCTGTGGAGTTCATGCCCAATTCAAGCAGTACTCCTACATAAAAAAATAAAAATAAAAAAAAGAAGCTAAAACTAATGATGGTAATTGTAGAAAATTTCATGAGAAATTTTTGGTTTGTTTGTTTGGTGTAGATTGATTTGGGGGCCATATCAGGCTTTACTCAGGGCTTCTTCTTAGCTCTGTGCTCAGGGATCACTCCTGGTGATGCTTAGGGGATCATATATAGTGGTGGGATCAAGCTGGTTGAGTTGTGTAAAAGGCAAGTACCTTAATACCTGTAGAATCTCTCTGGCCTCTAAAATTATCTCATTGGTAACATTTTATTAGGGCGGGGAAAGGTGGTTTGGGCCACATTCAGTAAGTGCTCAGGGCTTCCTTTCAGGCTAGATGCTCAAGGATCATTCCTGGTGATGTCACGGATCAAACCCAGATCAGTTATTTTGATACTTAGTAGTTTACTATTACCTGTATAATAGTAGTAGGATAATTAGTAGTTTACATAGTAGTTTACACTACTAAGCATATTTTATATCGTAAATGCTATTCATTTTTAAAATTTTTTTGTTTTGTTTTTAGGCCAGGTCCAGAGGTACTCAAGGCTTATTCCTGGCTCTCAGGTATCACTCCTGGTGGGGCTCAGGGCACCTTATGGGGTGCCACGGATTGAACCCAGGTCAGATATGTGCAAGGCAAGTGCCCTACCCACTGTACTATCACTCCGGGCCCTTTATAAAGTCTTTTTATGCACCAAATACTTCTTATACATATATAATCTATTTCAGTATATCAAAAATTACTTATAAATATTTTAATTCAATGAAATTGTAACATCGATAACTACAGGAAAATTCACAAAGAAAACAAAAGAAGTTGCCCTTTAAAAGTGTTTCTTGGGGCTGGAGTGATAGCACAGCAGGGAGAGTGTTTGTCTTGCACAGGGCCGATCCAGGTTTGATTCCCAGCATCCCATGTGGTCCCCTGAGCACCGCTGGGAGTGATTCCTGAGTGCAGAGCCAGTAGTAACCCCTGTGCATTGCCGGGTGTGACCCCAAAATATAAAAATAGAAAAATTTTTAAAAAGTGCTTCTTAATTTAATGATTGTGATTTTTTTTTTTTTTTTTGCTTTTTGGGGTCACACCCGGCGAGCACAGGAGTTACTCCTGGTTCATACACTCAGGAATTACTCCTAGCGGTGCTCGGGGGACCATATGGGATGCTGGGAATCGAACCTGGGTCGGCCTGGGTCAGCCGCGTGCAAGGCAAACGCCCTACCTGATCTGCTATCACTCCAGCCCCAAATGATTGTGATTTTTAATAACAAATATATATTTGGTCTTCATCTGTTTCCAGTAAGTTTCGAAAACTGTTGGAATTTCCTAAGCAGTGAGACAGAAGTAAGTGCCTTCTATTTTATAAATATTTTATAAATTTATTCACTTTCAGAAATAACATTTTTTGGAGGGGGCCGCACCTAGCTATGCTCTGAGGTTCTTCCTGGGTTGGTACTCAGGGATCACTCCTAGCAGGGCTTGGGGATCATATATGCTATGCTCAGAATCAATCCTGGGATGGCCAGTGCCTTCCCTGTTACACTTGCTCCACTGGAGGTCACTTTTGGAAAGTCCCTATGTCACAAAAGGATGGAGGCTGCCTGCCGAAGAGACTCAACCCCGTGGCTGAAACTCCCAACTCAGAAGGGGAGATGGGCAGAAGATGGAGCTCAATCACCAGTGGCCTATGGTTATATAATGAAAGCTCCAAAAATAACCAGATGAGCATCAGAATAGCTGGGGGCTGGTACCTATTCACAGATCTGGGGGGAATCAGTGCACATAGAGAGAGCATGACTATTCCAGATCTGCCCAATACTCTAGCCCAATGCACATCTTCCTCCGGCTGTTACTGAGTTAAAAATCTTTATTTATTTTTATTTATTTGTGGCTTTCTGAGCTACATCCAGAGATGTTAGGGATTACTCCTGGCTCTGCACTTAGAATTACTCCTGGCAGTGCTTGGGGGAACTATATGGGATGCTGGGGATCGAACCCAAGTCGGCTGCATGCAAGACAAACAATCTACCCATTGTACTACTGCTCATTTAAAAAAAAATTAAAAAAAACTTATTTGGGAGGGGGGAAGGGAATTGGGGCCACACCCAAAGAAGCTCAGAGACAATTATTCCTAGATAGGTGCTTAAAGGTGGCTCCCGGTAAGTGCTCAGGAAACCAAGTGGTTCTAGGACTTAACCATTGGGCTCCAGCATGCAAAATTTGTTCCTTGGCCTATGAAGAAAACCTTTTACAATAAACTTGTCATCTAGTAAGTAAATTGTTTCTCTGCATTCTGTGAGCTACTCTAACCGCACAGAGGGAGTCACTGGTATTTCCAACAGACTGCTACTCGGTCAGAAGCACAGCTGACAGCCTGAACTTAACCACCACCTGAGGAAGAAGGGGCTTTGATTTGGTAGAACAAACCTGCCAACCTGTGAATCTGACAGGTGGCAGAGTGAGAATTGAGCTAAATTGTAGGATCTCAGTTTGGTGGAGGAAATTTCATTACTGTTGTGGTGAACATCCCTTTACCTCCACCCAACTCTACTACATGCACACTCACAAACTGGAACTGGTCGCTAGAATATTCAGATTTTTAAATCCAAAATATCAGGAAATGATTCACAATAGTCATTCATTCAAAAAATTAATCTCACCATAAGTAACATTTCTGCCTTATTATATTTTGCAGTGGGTGAATAAATAATACTAAACTTATTTGAATGATTTAATTTGAATACAATTATTCAGAGGTAATATTTAGATATGAAATTTTCTTACTGTATCCAAGGAAAGTAAATCATCTTTGCTCCCACCAAACACCATTATTTCATTTTCTTTTCCCAAACAGGCTGTGTGCCATAACCTATGGTTGAAAATTATAAATAAGATGAAATACTCTCAAGGAAAAAACTGTGTATCACATATAAACCAATTTTTCAATTGCACAATATAAATTTTATTATAAAAGAGGTATGATCAAACTTAAATTTTTGTTTGTTTTTGGGCCACCCCCAGCTGTGCTCAGAGGTCACTTCTTGCTCTGCACTCAGAATTACTCCTGGCAGTACTCAGGAGACGATATGGGATGCCATATGTAAGGCAAGTGCCTAACCCCTGTCCTCGAAAGTTTTATTTTTAAAGATTCCTCTAGAAATACTAAAGGACTCAATTCTAGAGTTTAATTAAGCTAGCCCACTCCTATTTTTTTCTGTTTTTTTTTTTTTCCCCGGCTGTGTTCAGGGCTTACTCCTGGCTCTGCACTTGAGGATTACTCTTGGAGGACCTCAGAGGATATGGGATGCTGAAGATAGAACCTGGGTTGACTATGTACAAGGCAAGAGGCCTACCTGTGCTATTGTTCTGGCCCTTATACCACTGTTATTAAGGAGATGACTTGTAACAGATTTTTCTGTCTCTAATTCTTCCCAGATATATATATATATATATATATATATATATATATATATCTGACAAATTACACTGCTCCTAATATTGTTTTTAACCATAGACATCTCCTGATCAGGAAGTACCTTATTATTTTTTGAACATGACATTTATGCTTATAATATTTATGACCAATAACTATTTTTCCCTAGAATTGGAGTTTTTGCCTCTATTCAAATGAACTCTCCATTTTAGTCAAATATTCCAAGGGGAAACACTTCTATTCACCTCTTGGTTGTTATTGTTTTTCCCACACTGTTTTGTAGGCTAAGAATGATAGATTGTTCTCTCTGAAGTTTAAGAGCAAAAGACTCAAAATCTTTAGGAAGTGACCTGAATACCCATCCAAACTGACTCTTACCCTTTCTGTGCAGGAACTTTCAACATTTAACAGCTCATTTTAGATTCTAAATTTATATTGGGAAAAAAACCCTCTATGTTTCTTAAGTGTTTGATATGTGTGTTTTCTAGCTCCTCACAAATACTCTATGGTTCTTCAGGTGAAAAATTCCCACTATGGTGTGCTGGAAGAGCTTACTGGCTGCCTGAAACCAATTATGTGCATCTCTATCCAAATACAACAATATTGCATTAGAAGCCTGAAACTGACCATGGTAGAAATCAGTCAATTCTGCAAAGTAGGATTTTGTTTTGTTTTGATTTCCTGGAGAGCAGTTAACCATTTACCAGCATACCAATGGAACTTGGATAATTTAAGTTTAAGCTACCCCTGAAAAAGACCAATTAAGGTGCTCTGTATCCAGTATTCAAAAACTTTTGATTAATAAAAGTAGACATTAAATATTAACATCAGATATTCAGTGATTAAACAATTTCATAAAGTAATAACATTTAATATTCTTTTGGAAAAAGTCAGCTAGCTGACATTCTACTTCCATATTTTTTACCAAGAATAATTTTGTGACTTTATAAAGTTCAATACTTTGAGATGTTCTAACTCAGGAAAAATGTGCACATATATTTCTCAATTTTAGAGAACAAATAACATATTTTAAAAACCACTGCTTTCTATCAGTGCATTTTTATTACTTTTATTTTTTTTGTTTTTGGTCCACACCCTGTGGTGCTACAGATTTACTCCTAGTTCTGTGCTCAGGGATCACTCACGGTGGTGCTAGGGTATTATATGTTGTTCTGGGGATGAAACACAGGAGTTGTGTATAAGACAAGCACCTTAACCCCTGTATTCTCTTTCCAGCCCGTGTTAACTTGTTTTTTTAGGCTAGATTACTAAAGCAACATACTTCCCATATTTCCCATATAACAATATATTATCACTTGTTTTATTACTATTTAACTTATTTTTATTAATTTAGTTTTAAAATTCTGACAACACTTTGAGCAGGGGACAGGGGGAGCTTCAAGGGTAAAACTCAGAGGGCCAAAAGTGCAAAGCATGTGCTTGACCCCAAGAAATGTCTCAGCCCCATACCTTACTTTTAGCACATTAAACCTTTAAACTTAACTTTTTACTTCGTGAAAATAGTGGGATTATGCACAATCTATTAAACAAAATACCTTCCTCACTCACACACATGAAAGGATAAACACACTTGGCACTCAGTGTAACTGAGTGATTTTGTTTAGAAAAAACTGCCCAATTCTCCAACTTACATGTCACAATAGAAAACTCTGTACATCTTCAGAAAAATTCAGATTATATTATGGGATTGGGATGGGGGTGAGGATTGGAAGAGGGATTGGGTAAAACAGCCTTTCTCAACCTCTTCTGACCTTGGCTCCCTTCCAACCTTGTTACTTCCTGTGGCCCCCTTGTCTTGCCATGTCAAACCATGGTTTGCTAGTCTTATGCCATGGGCCTCATTTACATGATTTTTTTCTGTGGTCCCCTTGGGGTATGTTGGGGGCGCAGTGGAGGCATCAGGACACCCAGAGAAATACTCAGGTAAAAGAACTATAAATTATAACAAATACTCTTCATATGTGGAAAGGAACATTTAAATTCTGATAGGGAAAGTTGTATGTAATTTTAGCAAAATTTATGAAATCCAGTAAGGCTCTATATGGCAACATTACTGTCTTTTACAGACATATTAGAAAGGGTCCTTGGAAGCCACCTCTACCATGTATAAGACATACACATTATATACATATATAGATGGCAAGTAGTTTTTTTTAATACTGAGACTTGAAAAATAGAGTGTACAATGTACAATGGTTCTCAACCAGAAGATCTGTTGCTACCAAGGGGCTGTTTTACAAAATGAAACAATATGTTTGACTGTCCAGGGCAGTGGTATGACAGAGTTGGGGGAAGAGTTCTCCTGGCATCTATAGGGAGAAGGGCAAAGGTGCTGTTGAGCAGCCAACAATGCACAGGATTGCCCCAAACAACAAAAAATAATTTGTTCCAAAAATGTCAAAAATGCCAAGGTTGAGAATCCTTGCTGTAGAAGCACAAGAGGAGAACTGGGCAGCTTACACTTAAAAATTAAAACTTGGAAAAGTCTGCACAAAATTATTCGAATGTTAATTATATTCTCACTTTCAAAAATTAATATATATACATTATATATATACACACATATGTTCTCCTTACACTAAACTGTATCCCACCTGTTCTTCTCCTCACCTCATACCTGAAGATAGATCTGCCTTGTCTTATCTGCCTTAGGGAAACTCTGGCCTGGACTTCATCATCGAGGAACACTGGAAAGCCTTTCCTGCCTTGATTTTGGTGACATCTAGCTTGCAACCTGATGTTTTTTCTACAGACTGAGAGTTTATGTCCTCTCACAGCTGCTCTAAACTTATCACCTAAATATTCTAATAAAGCATATATTTACATGACACATCAGCTGAATTCAAAGAAATCTCTTTACATAGCTCAGATCTAACTAATATATTATTGATAATAGTTTTGTTGCTCTAATTACTTATTAAGGATTGAAATATGAAATAGGAATATTAAAAAATTAAACATTCTTACTATCACTCTGGCCTACAATTAATGCATTCCAACAATCAAATAACTAGAAGAGAAAAAAATCTTATCTATTCAACTCTTTCATTTCACAGATAAAAGAAAATGATGCAGTTTTTTTTCTTTTGTATGCCAGGGATCAAACCCAAGGCCTCAGACAAGTAGAAGATGCTCAGTTTCTTTAGGTGAATTTCTCAAAGTGAAATAAAAAGCTGAGCAAGAACTAGAACTCTGATTCCAATATATTAATATAAAATTCTTTAAAGTATCAAATTTCTAAAAAATCTAAAATTGCTGAAATACAATAAACTTCATAAATAAAAATGTAAGAATCATAAACTTATAATAAATTCTAGATGAATTGTGCATATTAACATATATGCACTGAGATATTTACACATTGAGTGTTTTTATAAGTTACTTATCATTTATTGAATTGCTAAAATACATACATCATTAAATTGACTTCACACAGCATATTTATGATTTAAAAGTTCTGAAATACATTACATGAAGAATAAAGTCTATTGCTAACTATAACAATGTTAAATTATAATGTGTCAAATTTTACTTTCCTATTAACATATCTTTATTATACTACTCAATGAAATTACCAAACTAAGAATTATAGTACCAATATGACTTTCTTTGTAGTACAATATAAGCACATTGTTTTTATTTACTGTTTTTTTAAATTCACATTAATATTTTTTTCACATTGGTATTTATACAATAATAAAATAATAATCTGGCATATACTTGAAAAACATGAAAGCAATTTTCCTCAATAAAATGCTCTAAAGCTCACTCAAAAAGTTGCTAATATCTCATTCTTATCTACTTATTAAATACAGCAATATTATGATACTTTTTATTATGATACTTTTAATTCTAAGTCTTTTCAGATTTAGTTGGCAAGATCTTGAATTTACATAAAAGACATTTTCATATATAAAAAATGAGTAGAAACTGAAAAGATATTTCTATCAGATATAATTAAAATTATATTTATTTCATTTACATCATGTTTATTTGAAAAATATTCTTTCTGATGATTTATGGTTTTAGTATTAAACACTATATAATATATATTCAATACTTAAAAATTCTTAACTACTGAACTATGTGTCAGCTTCTAGACTTACCTGGGTCTTGTTTTTGGTAAGTAAGTAAGCTGTTTCCAGCCATTTGTTTTAATATTATGAATCCAACCATCACCTGTCAACGTCAGAACATTTCAGAAATTAAGATTAGGATAAAATTAAAATTTATTCCCCAAAGTAATGATTCTACATTTATAAGACTACCGTATATTGAAACCAAAGCACAAAAAATTGTAAATCTACAACTTTAAAAAAAATAAAATAAAATAAAGGGAAAAAAAAAAAAGACTACCGTATGAATGTGTTTTATAAAATTTTTTTTTTTTTTTGCTTTTTGGGTCACACCCGGCGATGCTTATGGGTTACTCCTGGCTCATGCACTCAGGAATTGTTCCTGGCAGTGCTCGGGGGACCATATGGGATGCTGGGAATCGAACCTGTGTCGGCCATGTTGGCTGCGTGCAAGGCAAACGTCCTACCCGCTGTGCTATTGCTCCAGCCCCCTCATAAAAATTTTTAAACATATACAAAATTCGGGTGAACATAAGAATAAATCCTCACATGTATTAGATTCAACAACTACCAAAAATTTACCACGAGCTCCATTTGTCTTTGTTATTTTTGTTGCTGAGTTAAAATGCTAGATCTTATTTCCTCCCCAGAGATTATAGCAAGCACTCCTCAAAATATAAGTACTGGGGCTAGAGTGATAGTGCAGCAGGAAGGGCGTTTGCCTTGCATGCGGCCAACCCGGGTTCGATTCCCAGCATCCCATACGGTCCCTGAGCACCGCCAGGAGTAATTCCTGAGTGCATGAGCCAGGAGTAACCCCTGTGCATCACTGGGTGTGACCAAAAAACCAAAAAAAAAAAAAAGAGTACTTCTACAAAACCGTAATGCCATTTCACAATTAATAAAACCCCAAAACAAATTATTGGTATCATATAATATCCATATAAACAATATTTGAGGGCTTCTGGTGGGGGGCATGATGTGGCCGGGACTGAGCCCAAGAGACATGTATTTCAAAGCATGTGCCTTGTCATTAAGCCACATTGCCAACCATCATATGATGACATCTTAATCTGAATATGAAAGAAAGTGATTGGACACTTAGTTTTCCATAAATCAATGTCCAACAATAGTAAATAGAAATCAAAAACATTAAATCTGTGAGGCTAACATGCTAAAAAAAAAACAAACCCAACTGAATTGAATACATGTTAGGTTCTGGTTGGATCCAAATCCAACTAGAACCAAGAAGCCAAGAGAGATAACAATATGCAATTAACATCTCCTCCTGGGAACTAATGCTTTTCCAACTAGATTATAAAATTTGCTGGTCAGTAGACTGGCAGATACACAGACAATGTCCTAAGTTTTTGTTGAAAAAAAAATAGTTTCCAGATCCTATATAAAATTATACCTCAGGTGAGTATATAGATGGAGATTAATGTAACCCAGATTTCATAAAACAAATGAAGAAAGAGATGTTAGGCATCAAACGCAGTGAACAAAATTATGCAGACTAAATTTTAGTTGACTTACTTAAAGGAATATTATCTGCACTTAGTCCACCAAATAGGAAAAGCTTATCATCAGCTATTGCTGTTAGAGTATGCCATGACCGATGTCTAGGGTTTTCTCCTTTGATAGAAATCCTGTGACAAGAACAAAATATAAAAACTTAGGCAATGTATTCATTTTTTTTTAAAGGCTCTGACCTGAAGGGGAAAAAATTCCTCATTACTTTAAAAATGTTGATTCCTCAAAGGCAGAACTGCAGACCAATGGAACAGGGTTGAATACACTGACATCTCCCCTCAATCATATGATCATTTAATCTTTGATAAAGGTGCAAAAAATGTGAAGTGGAGTAAGGAAAGCCTCTTTAACAAATTGTGCTGGCATCACTGGACGGCTACATGCAAAAAAATGGGCTCAGAACTCTGCCTAACACCGTGTACAAAAGTAAGATCAAAATGGATTAAAGACCTCAACATCAGACCAGAAACCATAAGGTACATTGAAGACAAAGTCGGCAAAACCCTCCATGACATTGAAGCTAATGGTATCTTCAAAGATGTCACGCCACTGGCCGAGCAAGTGAAAACAGAGATAGATAAATGGAACTATCTTAAACTAAGAAGCTTCTGCACCTCAAAAGAAACAGTGACCAAAATACAAAGACAGTCTACAGAATGGGAAAGGATATTTGCCGAATACACATCTGACAAGGGGTTGATATCAAGGATATACAAAGTACTGGTTAAACTCTGCAAGAAGAAAACATCCAACCCCATCCAAAAATGGGGCAATGAAATGAACAGAAACTTTCTCAAAGAAGAAATCTGAATGGCAAAAAAGCACATGAGAAAATGCTCTACATCATTAACCATCAGGGAGATGCAGATCAAAACCACAATGAGATACCATCTCACACCTCAGAGACTGGCCCACATTCAAAAGAACAAAAGCAACCAATGCTGGCGCGGATGTGGCAAGAAAGGGACACTCCTTCGCTGTTTGTGGGAATGCCGACTGGTTCAGCCCTTCTGGAAAACAGTATGGACGATTCTCAAAAAATTAGAAATTGAGCTCCCATTTGACCCAGCAATAGCACTCCTGGGAATATATCCCAGAGAGGCAAAAATGTATAGTCAAAGTGACATCTGCACTTGTTTGTTTATTGCAGCACTCTTTACAATAGCCAGAAACTGGAAGAAACCTGAATGCCCAAGAACAGATGACTGGTTAAAGAAACTTTGGTACATCTACACAATGGAGTACTATGTAGCTGTTAGAAAAGATGAAGTCATGAAATTTACATACAAGTGGTACAACATGGAAAGTATCATGCTAAGCAAAATGAGTCAGAAAGAGAGGGATAGACATAGAAAGATTGCATTCGTCTGGGGGATATAAAATAACAAAATATGAGATTAATACCCAAGAATAGCTGAGATCAGCACCAGGAGGATTACTCCATAGCTTAGAGGCCAGCCGGGCATTCTAGGGGAAAGGGCAGCTCAGATAGAGAAGGGAGCACCAAATAAAGGGTGTTTGGAGGATCCTCCCAGGAGGGGAGATGCATGTTGAAAGTAGACTATGGACTGAACATGTTTGCCATTCAATGCCTCTTTTGCAGACCACAACGCCCAAAAGGAGAGAGAGAACAAAAGGGAATGCCCTGCCACAGAGGCAGGGTGGGATGGGGGTGGGGTGGGGGGGATATTATCCATGGTGGTGGAAAGTGGGCACTGATGGAGGGATGGGTATTTGATCATTGTATAATCGAAACCCAAGCACAAAAAATTGTAAATCTACAACTGTACTTCATGGTGTTTCACTAATAAAAAGAAAAAAAAATGTTGATTCCTAATCTTACCTATAGGAATATTTTTAAAACATTCTTAAAATTCTTAGATAAATTTAAAAGAATTTTCCCTCTTAATTTCTATCCAACCTGGCTATAGAACATAGAATGAAAACTAAGAGCCCTGAGCACAGTTGGATATGGCCCCAAAAACAAATTTTAATTTTTTGTTTCTTTGCAGAGGCCACACCTGGTGATGCTCAGGAGTTACTCCTGGCTCTGCATTCTGGAATTATTCCAGGAAGTACTCAGGGGATGCTGGAAATTGTACCCAGGTTTGCCACATACAAGACAAACGTCCTACCCAATGTACTATCTATAACGCCCCCAAATATTTCATTATTAAGCAATGTTACAAATCAGTCTTCATTTTTTAATCTAGATTTATATCATCTTTTAAAAAGTTTATCAACTTAGTCCTATACTAAGTTCCTCCCCACATGGGGAGTTACTTTTCCTCTCTCTCCTACTTTCCAGCAAACTTTTCTTTTCTACTTTTTAAATAAACAAACTTGAGGTGGGAGATGACTCATAAGTCCAGAGCAGGGGCTGGAGCGATATAGTACAGTGGGTAAGGCCTTGCATGCAGCTGACTCAGGTTGGATCCCTGGCATGCCAGAAGGTTCAGAGGTAATTCCTGAGTGCAGAGCCAGGAGTAACTTATGAGCCTTGCCATCACCGGGTGTGTCCAAAAAAAAACAAACAAAAAGGTCTAGTACATATGCTTTGCATGCAGGAAGTCCAAGGGCTTTTGCCTTGTATGCAGACAGCCTGGTTCAATCTCTGGCAACCCATATGGTCCCCCAAAACCCTGCCAAGAGTGATCCCTGAGTACAGAGCTAGAAGGTGTGGTCCAAAAACAAAGAGGAAAGAAGGAAGGGGGGGAGGGAAGGGGGAGGGGAGAAACAGTAAGAGAAAGAGAGAAAGAGAGGAAGAGAGGGAGAGGGAGAGAGGGGCAAATTAAAGATAACCAACTATATTTTCTTTTGATAGTTTTATACTTTAGGACTCTAATCCTTTTTTTGTTTTTGTTTCATACCTGACAGTGCTCAGGATGGAATGCAGGTCTGCCAACTGCAAGGCAAGCAAGCATCTTGCCAGCTATGCAACCGCTCTGGCCCCTCGGATTCTAATTCTACCTCTTTATATAAAGAGCTGAACTGATAGCTAGGTAAATTTATTTTATAGACAATGAGCCATAATAAAATGTCATATGATTGCCCTATTATACTGTTCCTTCATCTACTGAGAAGAACCTAATATAGTTATAAAATCAGTACCTCCCGTAATCAATTTCCAACTGTTAGCATTCTTGTTTTATATTGTTTGATTAAAAACAATTATATATTTAAATTAATACATAATGTTTTATATAAATGGCCTAGAGGGGGAAAATGCAAGTTATGTTTTAGACACCCAAATTTAGATTATGCCAAACAGACACACACACACATACACACACACACACACACACACACAGAAACATACACCCATGAAGAAATGTCTATAGATTAAAACACTTAAATTTTAAACTTACCTTCCAGACCAAGTCCAGGTATCTAAATTTAGATAATGCAAATCATTCATTCTAGTTTGCTAAAATAAAAGTGTATCAAGTTAGTGTTTTATACTTTTCATGGGCTAAAACTAAATTCAGATTGAAAATAGATTATTTATAACACCAGAAGTTTATATACTAGGAAACAACACAACACATTAATGAGATTAACAGAGACACCACATTAATATCTCAAAGCAGAAAGAAATAAACTTAAAGTAATTGCATTAGAAGACAAATCAAACTTTTTTGAGAATACTAAAATGAAGGCTTTTCATTATCCTGTATAATTATCAATGATTACTCATAAATAATCTATTTGGGAGTAAAGTATAAGTAACCAATTTGCTGAATGACATTTTAATTTAGATTATTTGTATATTGAATAATTTCAAAATATCAGGAGCAAATTTTATCAGAAGCATAGCATATAAAAAGACAATTTCCATTAAAAACACTAACCAAAACACGTCCTCCAAAGACATAGCCTTTATTTCCAAGCACTGCACAAGTATGTGCTGCCCGTGGCTGTGGTGGAATTCCACCCTGCAAGCAAAGATCAGTAAATAGAAAGCAAAAATTGAAAACATGTGAAAGGAAGTAATATTTTGTGCTCAGAATAAGGAATCCCTCACTGATTAGTTACTATTACCAGTGTAAGTTAATTAAAACCATATGCAAAATATCATTTAACATAGTAATAATTATACACAAGTACTATACTACTCTCTAGAATTAAATTTATTCACCTTTTAAAAGTGGTTTCTCACTGCCAGGAGTATTTCCTGAGCCGGGTATGATCAAAAAAAAAAAAGAGAGAGAGAGATTCTGGGGCTGGAGCAATAGCACAGCAGGTAGGGTGTTTGCCTTGCACGCGGCCAACCTGGGTTTGATTCCTAGCATCCCATATGGTCCCCTGAGCACCGCCAGGGGTGATTCCTGAGCACAGAGCCAGGAGAAACCCCTGTACATTGCCGGGTGTGACCCAAAAGGAAAAAAAAAGTGGTTTCTGGGGCTGAAGAGATAGTACAGCAGGTAAGGCATCCAAAATTAAATAACAAATAAATACTAATCTTTAACAAACTTAATAATGTGCCTATCAAGGAGGCAGGCTGGGGATTGGAGAGAAAATTAGACATTGGTGGAAATGAGCAACGATAATGGGATAGAGTTAACAAATTGTATACCTAAAATTCAACAATGAATAACTTTGTAAATCATGGTGTTTCAATAAAAAAATTAATGTTTAAACATTGTCAAAATTCTCCTCCACAAACACTCTGAGTGCAGTGCCAGGAATAAGTCCTGAGCACAGCTGGATGTGGCCCTAAATCAAAATAAATTAAAATGCATCAAATTTTATGCATTTCCATTTTGGTTTTGTCTGGTAATAATTCCAATCTACAGAGTTCTGGTGAATTTATCAGTGATAAAGCCTTAGTCCCAGAGAGATAGGCTTGAGACTGTGACTTGGTCACTCTTTGTTTTGGCAATAGGGACAGATATAATCTGAATAATATAAAGACTATGCTCAGCCCTTTTTTCAAAAAACAGTTAAAGTTAAAGTCACTGAGAGCCTATGCAATAACAGTATAAGTTGTTTGAGTATCCAGAGTCATACTCTTCTTAAATGAGCAAACTATTCTTCCAAAGACAGAAATAGTACACAAAGAAAAGCAGAGAGAAGCCAAGAAATAGCTGCAAAGTACCATGATGTGTTGAATAACTTGCTCCAGTTTCTGAGCTTCTGAGAACCTTATAAGTATAGCTCTTGCTTACACTGCACAAGAAATTCCAAAAGATACTTTCTAGTTATATGTAAATTCACTATTGCTTAAACTAACATATATAATTTTTGCCTATTATTTTTGTTTAAATTGAATGACAGTGAGATAAACAGCTACAAGATTGTTCATGATTGGGTTTCAGTCTTATAATGTTCTAACACCTTTCCCTTCACCAGTGTACATTTCCCACCACCAATGTCCCCAGTTTCCTTCCTGCCATGCCCTCCCCCCAAAAACTATTACTTGTATTTGTTTTTGTGACACAGTCAGTGGTACTTAGTGCTAATCTGGCTAATCCTGTGCTCCCAGCAGTGCCTGGAACTGAACCGTCCTGTGCCCAGAACTGAATCCCACACACAAAGCCTTCTTTACATGCTCTCAGGTCTATTGTACTCTTCTCTTTCTGTTCCCTAAAAACATTGTTAAAGTATCAATCAATATACAAATGAAAGGCAACTTTTTAAAATACTTACTTTAATTTCTGGTTGAAACCAAGTCTGTGACTTTGTGTCAAATACATGAACATCATTATGCCATCCCCAGAATATCTGCTCTTCCTAAAACAGAAATATTTAAGACATTTATAATTTTCAGATTTCCACAGTGTCATTACATAATAGGTACTTTTTAAAAAAAACAGAGCTGAGGCCAGAAAAATAGTATAGCAAGTAGGGTTCAATCCCTAACATCCCACATGGTACTCCAAGCATTGCCAGTAGTGATTCCTGAGTACAGAGCTAGGAGTTAAGCCCTGAGCACTACCCAGGTGGCGCAAAACAAAACAAAATAAAAATTGAATTTAAAAAAATTTAAAGATAGAACTAAATGTTACTATAAAGTCCCTCCCGTTGATCATCGATTTGCTCGAGCAGGCCCAGTAACGTCTCCATTGGAGACTTTGTTGTTACTGTGTCTGGCATATCCAATACTCTCGGTACCTTGCCGGACTCTCCGAGAGGGGCAGAGGAATCGAACTCGGGTCGGCCATGTTGGCTGCGTGCAAGGCAAACGCCCTACCACTGTGCTATCGCTCCAGTGTTACTATGTTACTATACTATACTATACTATACTATATTATACTATACTATACGATACGATACGATACTATAGGCATATAGCATATACTATATATATAGGCATATAGCATATACTATAGGCATATAGTATACTATACTATACTATACTATATTATACTATACTATACTATACTATAGGCATAAAACTAAATGCAGAGAGTGGCTCAATAATGTGATAAAATGTAAAGTAAAACTTTAGTTACTGACTCCAATGTTCTCAGAGAATTTTCTCTGTTAAAATTGAAGAGGAAGGGGGTATGGTGCCGCCAATAGGTCAATCTGTACCTGTGAGGCAAGTGCATCAGCAGCATGATGGCGTCTTCAGACTTCCAGATACCCCCAAATTGCTGCTGTGCCTTTGGCCAGACCTCAAAAGCTTGGGGCAAAGTTTACCAAGAAAGTAAACAGCCAAAAGTTAGGTATGTAGGAAATACACCCACAAACCACCTCCGGCTCAGCTATATAATTGGAGGCATGGCCTCTCTGGTTCCTGATTGAACTGCTTAATGGCCATGATCCCAGAGACTCAGAAACAAATCTCAAAACCCAGCGGCTTTTGGCAGAAATGCATCCGGTCCCTGCAGTAGGTTAGCAGTGTTGGGCCACCCCAGGTGGGAATAGGTTTTGTGCCTTGGTCTGTTCCCCTGGCGGCCTGGTGGCCGCCATCCTCCATAGGCCACTGGACAGTCAGGTTTAGGCCTGCAGTGACGAGACACGCAGGGCCTCATGAAATGGGGGTAGAGCCAGTCCTGTCCTCCCCCCGCACCAACGAGACTCCAAGTAATCGCCCACGAATGGCCTTTCTGGCTCCTGATCAAGCTGCTTAACGGCCATGATCCAAGAGACTCAGGAGCAAATCTCGGAACCCAGCAGGTTTGGGCAGAAATCCCTCCAGATTTAAATGTTAAAATTTCAGAATTTTAAAATCGCGCAGCCATTACTGCAGCCACGTGACATCATATGTTATTCATAACCAGGAATAGAAAACAAATTGTCTACTTTTGCCTTTTCAGCAGATCTGAGTGTTGGGGTAAAATCTCAAATAATAATGGTGGGTCTGGTGTCAAAATATTGAACGTGATTAAAGTAGAGAGAGAGTAATGCGGAAATCATCTGCCCCACAGGTAGGGGGAGGGTGTGGGATGGGGGTATACTGGGGTTGTTGGGGGTGGAGATTGGGCACTGGTGAAGGTACTTGTGTTTCATTGTATGACCGAGACTTAGACCCGAAAGCTTTGTAACTGCTCTCAGTGATTCAATAAATAAAATTATAAAAAATGAAAAAAAAATAAAATTGAAGAGGAGTTGGGATAGGGGATGATCGGAGGGAAACTTGGAACACTAGTGCTGGTAAATGTACACTGGTGGGGGAATGGATGTTGGAATACTGTATGACTGAAACCTAATTGGGAACAGCTTTGTAAGGGTCTATTTCAGTGATTCAATTTAAAAAAAATTGAAGAGGACAGATATTTCTATTTTGAGACATAATTTCCTGAAGCATATGGTTAGAATTCTAAACTACTGCCATTAGAGAAAATATTGGATGGGGGTTAGATTATTTTTTCTATTAAGTTTCAATGACTTCTAATAATCCAAACAACAAGGCTCTCTTTAATCAAACTAGTGCTCATTCTCTTATTTTCTTCCTTTTGTTCGAGGAAGTGGGCCATTAGCTCACATCCAGCTGTGCCCTGGGCTTACTCCTGTCTCTGTGTTCAGGGATCACTGAGTGGCAGGGATCAGGGTTTCATATGCAGTACCCAGAATCAAACTGGGGTCAGCTGCATGCAAGACAGGCACATTACCTCTTGGGTTATCTCTCCTGCCTTCTTATTTTCTAAAAGACCAAAATGTTTGCAAGATAAAGACTTAGCAGTTATAGTTAAGGTTACTAAAATGCTCTATTACTTAGTTTAGTACTTGTACTAAACCACTTGTATATCAAAAACTTTAGTATACATTCAGTATTCTAATTGTAGTGCAAGTAGCAATGTTGTAAGTATATGTTAAGGACAGGGAGATGGCAAAAAGGGTTGGAGTGTACTCTTTGCATGGGGGAGCCCTGGGTTCAATTCCTGGCACTAAATAAAGTATTTTAGAGGGTGTTTTGGGCCACACCCAGCTGTGCTCAGAGCTTACTCCTGGCTCTTTGCTCAGGGCTTACTCCTGCCTCTCTGCTCAGGAATCATTGGGGGACCAGTACCTGCTGTACTATTTCCCAACCCAGATAATATTTCATTTTAAAAAGTCAGAAAAACATATGAATACATGGGAACTTTAAAAAATAACCACATCCAGGGCCAGAGATATAGTAATTGCCTTGCAAATAGCTGAGCCAGGTTCAATCCCTGGAACCACATACGGTCCCTGAGCACTGCCAACAGTGACCCCCAAGCAGAGAGTAAGGACTAAGCTCTAATCACTGCCAGGTATGGCACAAAAAATACAAAAACAAAAATATATATATTCATATCCAAAGGTATATAACATGAAATATACAACATACATTTATACTAATAATATATAATGAAATATGTTAGCAGATAGTGTTGGGGTACAAAGAGTTTAGGTTTATCTGGTTACACCCATCAATCTGGTTACACCCATCACAGTGCTCCTGAAGCACTTCCACTTCCATTGTGTTTATCTGTAAACAGTCTTCCCTATGCTCTCCTTCCCACCCAGTTAATCAGCTTTCCGCTTAATCAGACTGTTAATTTGTAAGATCAGTTTCCCAGAAATCTATGATTTTATATCACTTAATCACTTAATCCCCGTTATTCATCGATTTATTCGAGCGGGTGCCAGTAACGTCTCCATCCATCCCGGTTGCGTGCTAGCGTAGCCCAATGGTATCTGTTCGTTTTAGGAACATGTAGAGCCTCAAACCGATCATTTAGGGTCTTGACGAAGAAGTCTGACCATCTTATAGGTGGGCGTCCACGTGATCTTTTGATATCTCGTGGAATCCAATCAGTAATGGCTCTAGTCCAGCGGTTGTCTGTAAACCTCATTACGTGTCCAGCCCATCTGATTTTTGATGTCTTGGCAAATGAGACAGCGTCCCTGATTCTTGAGCGTTGACGAAGATCAGAACTCCTGATTCTATCTCTCATTTGAGTGAATCGTGATATTCCAAGCATAGTTTTTTCGATTCCTCTTTGAGAGACCCGAATAGTATTCTCATCCTGTTTTCGTAGGGTCCAGGTCTCTGAGGCATATGTTAATGCAGGAAGAATGGTGGAATCAAAGAGATGTGCTCGTAGCTGGAGGTTCTTTGTCCTTTTAGTTATTTCTTCAATGCTCTTGAAGGCATTCCAAGCCGCTCTCTTCCTCCTGCGCAACTCAGGTGCCAGGTCATTCATCATGTTGATTTCTCGACCTAGGTATATATAACTGTTGCATTCGGAGATGGTGGTTCCATTGAGAGCGAATGGAGCATCAGGAACAAGGCTGTTTCTCATAAACATTGTCTTCGTAAGATTCAGCTGTAGTCTGACCTTTCCACATTCACGGTCAAAGTCGTTCAGCATTTGTGCCGCTTGGTTGATGTTTGGTGTTATTAGAACGATGTCATCAGCAAAGCGGAGGTGTTGTAGTTGCCGACCATCTATCTTCACTCCCATGTTTTCCCATTCCAGTCGTCGCATGATGTTCTCGAGGGTGGCACTGAAGAGTTTTGGTGAAATGGTATCACCCTGCCGAACCCCTCTCTTGATATGGATAATAACTTCTTTGTAGAATGGTGAGATCTTGGTAGTGAATCCGCAATAGAGCTCATGAAGGATCCTGATGTATTGAGTTTGTACGCCCTGATTGGCTAGGGCTTCCATGACCGCTTCCGTCTCAACAGAATCAAAGGCCTTCTTTAAATCAATGAACGTTAGACAGAGTGGCATCTTGAACTCCCGAGATACCTCAATGAGCTTGGTTATTGTGTGGATATGGTCGATGGTACTGAATCCTTTTCAGAATCCAGCTTGTTCACATGGTTGTCCTTCATCTAGTGTTCTGCTAATCCTATTCAGGATGACTCAAGTGAATAGTTTGTAGATAACAGACAATAGGCAGATTGGGCGATAGTTGCCAATGTCGTGGATGTCTCCTTTCTTGTATAGTAGTACAGTCTTGCTGGTTTTCCATTGGGATGGAACCTTGCATTCAGACAGGTAACGTGTGAAGAGTCGAGCCAATGTATTGATGAGTACTGATGGTAAGTTCTTCAGGTGTTCAGGTCTGATCTTGTCTGGGCCAGGTGCTCTTTGTTTCTTTACTGACGAGATGGCATGTTGGATTTCGGAAGGGAGAACATTGGGAACGACATATCCATCATGTGGTATGTGGTATGTGGGCAAGTGGATGTGGTTATTAAAGAGATCTGAGTAGAAGTCATGAATAATCTTCTCCATTGCCCTTCTGGAAGATGTTATAGATCCATCATGATGTCGGAGGGCAGTCATCTTGGTTTTGTAGTTGGTGAAGGACAGGCGGGCATTACGAATGTTTTTCCCAGATTCTGCTGCATCTACCAGTACTGCTGCTCTCCTGTTTTTGAGGTCATCCTTGATGGCTTCTCTGCACTGTTTTGCCAGTTCGGACGTTTGTTTGTGGTTGCCTGAGGCACGTGCCAAGCCACGTTGGCGAATAAGTTCAAGAGTGTTCGAAGAAAGACGGTTTTTTGTGGTTATCTCTCTCTTGGCATTCCTTGCACAATCATGGAGGTGCTGAATCATTCGATCGTATTCTTCATCAATGTTGTCAATGACGGCATCTTCCCATGTTGCCGCAACAGAGCCAAAGAGTTCCCAGTTGGTGGTTGTTCTGGGAGTCTTCTTAAACCTTGCATTCTTTTCTCCTCGTTCCGTGAGGTAGAATTTTGCACGAAGAAGACGGTGGTCTTCTTTTTATTTTATTTTATTTATTATTTTATATATATGAGTGAAATATTGCCTTTCTCCTCTCCTTATGCCTTATGAACAGTTTACCTTAAAGTAATATCCTTTTTGTATAGATACAGGAAGACCATTAACATTATGCTTTGCAACTTAGGATTCGATTGGCTTTGAATATTATTCACTCCCGGGCATCTGCTTTCTCGACTTAAGCCTCAGTTGCCCTTAGTTCCTAACACCCCAAAAGCAAGGTCCCGACGAGGGACTGAATGGACCCAGGGCAAGCGGTGAGCTACCCTGGCAGCGAAATAGGCCAGGTCAAAGTGCCACGATTCTTAACTATAAATTAAGAGTTTGATCATAGACAAATTCTGTCATGATCCAAAGGTAACAACGAGACTAGGATCCTGCTAGGGGTGGGAAAGACTATCTGGCCTGAGCACCGTGGTCTGAGATCGAGATGGCCCTAGGAGAGCAATTCTATAAGTTTAAGATATTTCTTACTGTATCCATACAAAATGATTTATATTATATATGCTTATATGCTTGTTGGACAAGGAGAGGAGAGGCACACCCATGGGATTCTGCTCTAGGGTGGGTCCTCCTGCTGAGAAAGGATCTGTCCTAGGAGCGGCCTTCCCTGAGGCTAAGAGTTCTACCCCTATTGATTGTGACCGCACCTATGTGTAATTGTTCCCCCAATTCCTCCTGAAGAGAGGATTTAACGAGACTGTAGGAGTGGGCTGGATGTTCAGAGAGGATCAGAAGGAAGAGGAGGATGAAGGGGGATGGAGAAGGAGAATAAAGTAGCATGGAGAGAGAGAGACGGGAGCAGAGACAGAAGCAGAGACAGACAAGAGAGACTGGTGTAGATGGAGAGAGGAATGGAATAAAATGCGACTAATACCTACCAGCCTGGTCCTCATTTCTTCCTCCGCCTGACCATTGCCATCGATCTCCCTGGGGCAGGAGAAGGGTGAGACTGAACGCGGCCAGCGGGAGAGATAGAGCCACCGCCGCTGTGTGCCGTGCCTCCTTTTGTGTGAGTTTACACAGATAGTAAATCTGCAGAGTTCTTATACATCTCGGTGGTGAAGTTACATTTTTTCAAGTTATATATTAACTTGAACAAGGGCTGGAGCAATAGCACAGCAGTCAAGGCATTTGCCTTGCATGCGGCCAACCCGGGTTCGATTTCTCCGCCCCTCTCAGAGAGCCCGGCAAGCTACCGAGAGCATCCTGCCCGCACGACAAAGCCTGGCAAGCTACCCATGGCATATTCGATATGCCAAAAACAGTAACAACAAGTCTCACATGGAGACGTTACTGGTGCCTGCTTGAGCAAATTGATGAACGATGGGAGGACAGTGCTACAGTACTATATATTAAAATATTTCTGGCCAGGAGCAATAGTACAGCATGTAACCCTTCAGCACAGCTGGCTGTGAACAAAAGTCAATGGGTAAACCCAAAAATATATTTTACTTTTATAAGTCATGAAGTCTTTCATTAATAATAGCCTATTCTCTAACCAATAAGAATAAATAGGAGGGCATGGGGCTGGAGCGATAGCACAGCAGGTAGGGCATTTGCCTTGCACGCGCCCGACCCAGGTTCGATTCCCAGCATTCCATATGGTCCCCTGAGTAATTATGCCAGGAGTAATTCCTGAGTTCAGAGCCAGGAGTAACGCCTGTGCATTGCCGGGTGTGACCCAAAAAGAAAAAGAGTAAGTAGGAGGGCAGGGGCTGAAGTGAGAGCACAGTGGTTGGGCATCTGCCTTGCACACGGCCAACTTGGCCAACCTGACTTCGATTTTTCCGCCCCTCTCAGAGAGCCCAGCAAGCTACTGAGAGTATCTCGCACGCATGGCAAAGCCTGGCAAGCTACCCATGTCGTATCCAACATGCCAAACACAGTAACAAGAAGTTTCACAATGGAGATGTTACTGGGCCCGCTCGAGCAAATCGATGAACAATGGGAGGACAGTGCTACAGTGCTACAGGAGGGCAGAGTGAAAGTAGTGCAATTAGGGCATTTGCTGCCTTGCATTTGGTCAACCTGGGTTCCATCCCAGGTACCCCATATGCTGAGGACAAGATGCAGAGCTAGGAGCAAGCCCTAAGGACATCCAGGTGTGACAAAAAAACAAAAAGCGTAAGTAGGAAAAGTAACGTCATTGCCAGTTTGCTAACTTATACTGAGGCCAGTCTGTAGTTCTGACAAACATACCTAAAGGGAGGCAAATAGTCAAAATTTGTCCAGCTTTTCCTTGAGCCTTTACAAACTGTCTAACAGATTAATGAGGTATAAGAAACAATTTTTCCAGTAATCATGAAGACTAATATCTCGAGGGGAACCTCCACTAGCAAAATCCAAAAGCAAAAGAGAGAAAACACATTTTTCCGGTGTAAATTATAACAAAATAAAATTGAGAAAAGTTAGGATCATTATTTCTAATACATTATGCAGACACTAAATTAGTGATAAATAAAAAGAGCGAAAAATATTAAAGCAGTGATTACTGTCTTACCCAAGATGCATCATGAACATCAAAACAGTCTTGAAGTTCATTGTGTCTCCTACACCCATAGCCACCAAAATATATTATGCTGAAAGACAAAAACGACACACTTTTCAAAGTTCAACTTTTTTATGGAAAGTTGAAAGAGTTCATTTTCCTCACTCTAAAAACCTATACATGTGCATGCACCTCTGCTCATGCTCTTAGAAGACCAGGTGTTTCTGGGTACCTAAACTGAGTCAGAGGTAGCACCCAAAAAAAAAATCAAAACACATCTGAAGCTAGTAGCAAAACTGAAACAAACTAAAGCTGTAATAAAGTTTTAGATCAACTGCAGATATACTGTCTCAAATCAAATCATTCTAGCAGTCTGGAAAAGAAAGGGACTAGATCTTTCTGGGGATAAATATGATTTGTTCCAATATTCACTAAACTTTTTTCTAATGATGAAAAATCTACAAGATATGTGAAAAAAAATAATATGACCCAGGACCAAAGTGATAGTATAGCAGGTAGAGCACTTGCCTTTTACACAGCCAACCTTGGTCAAATCCACAGTACCCAAAATGATCCCCCAAGCCTGTCAGGAGTAATCCCTGATCATAAAGCCAGGGTAATCCCTAAGCATCATCACTGTGTGTGGCCCCAAAATAAAAAAACAGACCAACATAAATAAAAGTGAACCAGATCAAGGGAGGAAAGGGATGGCAAGATATTTGAATATCTAAAATGACCTTTAAACATGCAGGAAGAAATGAAAAATATCAGTAGAGAGATGGAGCCATGAAAAGGAACTAAATGTAAACACTAGAAATAAAAAACAATACAGCAGAAATAAGGATTCATTAGGCTTAACAGGATACAACGAAGTAATGGAAAAGATCAGAGATATAAGGATAGGTCAATTAAAATAATCAAGGGCCAGAGCCATAGGACAGTACGTAGAGTTTGCCTTGCACACAGATGACCTAAGTTGGATTCCTGGCATTCCTTATGATTCCAGAGCCCCACTAAAAAGTGATCCCTTGAGACTGAAATATAAGCACGAACATTTATAAGTCTGAAACTGTACCCCATGGTGATTCACTAATAAAATTTTTTTTTAAAAAGTGATCCCTGAGCACAAAAATAGGAGTTAGCCCTGAGCACCACTATGTGTGGCTCAACATCTGCCCAAATCAAGTTGAAACAAAGAGAAGAAAAGAGTAGGAAGGAAGTAAAGGGAAACCCAATCTTTGTGAAACAGTATCAGATGCATATTACAGGAGTTCCAGTAGGAGAACGGACAACCAAATTTTGATTAATAATATTCTCGTCAACAAAGGACCACTATCCAATAGTATGGTATAAACAAAACTCAATCAATATGCCATACCATATGGTCAAGGAGCATACCATCTGGTTTGTATAACTATACTTCATGACATTTGAACATAAAAATCACCTAACACGTATCCCAATTGTTAAGCAAGGCATGCCTGTAAGTATATAGAAGAAAATTTTAATAATTACTAAGAATTAACTGAACTTCATGAAAGGTATCAATCCACCAAACCAAGAAGCTCAGTCACACTTCAAGTAGGGCAAATACAAAGGAAAATACATGTGGATAAATTTTAATCTAATCAACGAAGAATAAAAATAAAGAACAGATAAAAGCCAGAGGGAAAAGACCCACAAATATATACATACGTAAAAAATATGTTTATATATGTGAGTATACATATATATATAAGGTAAGGTAAAGGCCCTCCCGTTGATCGTTGATTTGCTCGAGCAGGCCCAGTAACGTCTCCATTGGAGACTTTTGTTGTTACTGTGTCTGGCATATCGAATACTCTCGGTAGCTTGCCGGGCTCTCCGAGAGGGGCGGAGGAATCGAACTCGGGTCGGCCATGTTGGCCGCTTGTAAGGCGAACGCCCTACCTGCTGTGCTATCGCTCCAGCCTATATATATATATTGCAGAGTCCACATGGCAGAGCCTGGCAAGCTACCCGTGACGTATTCGATATGCCAAAAACAGTAACAATAACGGGTCTCATTCCCCTGAACCCTGAAAGGGCCCTCAATGTGGCAGCGCTGGGAAGGACGCGTAAGGAGAAGCTGCTAAAACTCAGGGCTGGGACGAATGAAGATGTTACTGGTACCCACTCGAGCAAATCTATGAACAATGGGATGGCAAGTGATACAAGTGATATATGTATATATGTATTCATATATCACTTATGTATACATATGCACACATATGTATACATATTTTATGTATATATAAGTGATATATGTATATATATTCATATATGTATATATATATTCAGAACCAGGGATTCTTCCTGGCTCTGTGCTCAGGAATCACTCCTAAGGGACTTGGGGGACTATATGTGGTGCCAGACATCAAACCTGTGTTGGCTGCATACAAGTCAAGTACTCTACTGGCTGTACTATCACTCCAGCCCCATATCATGTTTAGAAAATAATGTTAAATCATTCTAATAAATGTTAGTAAAAATTGAAACATATGAAAATTGTTTCAATCTACAACAAACAAAATACAAAGCACTTTTATTTTAGGGGCCAGAGATAGTACAGTAGGTAGGGCACTTACCTTGAACACGGCCAACCCGGGTATAATCCCTGGTATCCCATATGGTCCCCCAAGGACTGACAGGAGTAACCCCTGATAGTCCCTGGGAATGGCCCCAAAACAAAGCAAACAAACAACCTACCCCCCCAAAAAAAACCAAGAAGAAAGAAAAGGAACCAACGTCTGACACCTTGATCTTAGAATCCAAAACTCTTAACCAACATTTCTGTTGTTTAAGCCACTTAGTTTTATGATATCTTGTTAAGCAGTCCTAGAAAACTAGGTATTTATCAAAATTATAAGTACATTAATTTAGCCGAGCAATCAAATTCTGAAATTTTATCCAATTGAAAGATTTGCTGGGCTGGAGTGATAGTACAGTGGGTAGGACATTTGCCTTACTGCGGCCAACCCGGGTTCGATTCCCAGCATCCCATATGGTCCCCTGAGCACTGCTAGGATTCCTGAGTACAAAGCCAGGAGTAACCTCTGTGCATTGCTGGGTGTGACCCAAAAAGCAAAAAATAAATTTTTCACTATATATGTGTGCGTGTGTGTGTGTATACCACACACATATACACATACACAGCCATTAAAATCTAAGTACTGTTTCATTGTTTCATACATGGGAAAAAGTTAGACTACTGTATACCAACAAAGGAGAATACTATGCAGCTGTTTAAAAAAATAGGCTTTGGAGTTGGAAAGACAGTACAGCTGGTAAGGCACTTGCCTTGCATGAATCCAACCAAATTTGATCCCCAGCACCCATAATGGTCCCTCAAACCCTGGAAACCCTGCCAGCAGTGATCCCTGAGCTCACAGCTCAAGGTAATAATCCCTGAGCACAGTCAGGTGTGGCTCAAAAACCAAAGCATGTGTGTGTATATATATATATGTGTATATATATACACATACACATATATATATATATATGCTTTCTAACTAGATATTTTGAGATTTAACTGAAAAATCTTCATTATATACACACATATACAAATGAAGGTGTATGTATACACAAACACCTAGATAACTCATGAAGACTGTTCATTTTTTAAAAAAATTTTAAAGATTATTTATATATACCTATGTATATGCATATACATAGGTATATATTAAAAAGTTTTTTTGCTCTTTTTTGTGTCACACCCAGTGGAACTTAGGGATTACTCCTAACTCTACTTAGGGATCACTCCATCATTCCTGGAAATGCTTGGGGGACCACTGCAGTGCCAGAGACTGAAGCAGGGTTGGCCTCATGCAAGGCAAGCACCCTACCTGCTGTCTTAGCTCTCTGATCATCCATGATATAATGTTACCTAAAAGAAAAAAACAGCAGGGATACAGAACAATATAAAGAATAAACTCACATTTATGTCAGGAAGGAGAAAAAGGAACACACACACACACACACACACACACACACACACACACACACACACACATCGCTGAGTGCAGAGCCAGGGGTAAGTCCTGAGCACAACTGGCTGTGGCAAAAAAAAATAAATACAGCTTAGAAAACCAAACAGTTGCTTCCACTATGTTTTTCTATGGTATGATTCTTTCTCAGGGTTCCAAATTGAAATGCAGTTAATAAGATTTTGCCGAACTACCTGTCATTGTATACCCAGCAGGAAAGTTTATCACGTGGTGTGGGTGGCTGTCCTTCAACTTTGGAGACTTTTTCCCAAATGTAGTTTCCATCTCTTCTTCGCAAATTAACAAAATAAAGCTTTTAAAAGAGGAGAAGACACTTAGGAGAGAGGCTACTTGAAAATTAAATTTACATCGAGAGGATTTGAAATACAAAATTACTACTATTACTTTTTCACTTTAAAAGGTAAAAATTTATACTTGATAAAATGAGACTTCTTTAGAAGCAAAAATAATATCTAGAACACCCTGAAATAGATAATTCCCCATTATTCTCTTGACCTATTTATAACAACAAATTATATACTTAAATCTGGAGCAGAGAGACACAGAAGAGCAAAACCACTGCATTTTCACTCTATATTTTATCCATTAAGAATCATAAAATAAATAATTTCAACAAATATCTTCTTTTAAAAATACTTTCAAACTTGTGATATGAAACAATACAGTAAAACTACATTTTGCTTCACTCCTGAATTGAAAGAAAATATTACTCCATTGCTGTATCCTTTGTCATCATATCCGCCAAAAACGTACAACTTTCCATTAATGCAAGCACCACAACTTCCTGACATGGAGGTAGGGAGCTCTCCTTCCATTAGGTGCATTGTCCTGCAGCAAGAATAACATGGAATTCCATAACTTTAAGAAAGTCAAAATAAAACTCCCTTTGACTTCCATGAGTAGTTTTTCAATAAACACTGTTACAATTACAATTAACATGTAATGGAAGCCAATACAGCAAAAACTCTAAGGTTCATGGTAAAGAATTTTCAACCTACTGGGTGAGGGGTCCGGGGGTTGGGGAATGACAGAAATTCTTCTACTGTCACCAGTATCAGGAACACTTAGTAGAATAAACAGTCTTCAGAGATAGCTTTAGTCTTGAAAGGCATGATAAAGTACAAAAGGTGGAGAAAGGATAGAGGGAAAGACAGTAAAATAAAATAAAGCACTAAAAATAAAGGGGAGACAATGTCGCAGTATGTTCTATGTTTCATCCTAAATACCCTTTAGTTTATGAAAAAAATTATAATATTAATATTGGACATTTTCCAATTTAAAATTACTTACCACAACCCACTATCAATATCATAGGTCCAAATTTCATCATTAGGCAAATATACTTCATTGTCTTCAATAGACTAAAAACATAGAATACATAAAATTATGTTTATCAATTATATAGTAACAGTTAAATATTTTCTCAGGATGGAGGAACTGCAATAAAAATACTATTAAAAAGATTAACAGGATAAAAAATTTAACATAAAGGCATTTTCTAAGAGAAAGTGAGAAAAAAGATTTAGAATACAAAATAGAAGTATATGAATGTCAAGAAAAGGACTCACGACAAGTGAAACTGAAAAGGGGATTCTATGTAATAGGTAAGGGAAACTAGTCAAATAACTACCTATGAGGCAGATGACTAAAACTACAAAGCTAAAGGAAAAAAGTAACATCATTAGATTAAAAAACAAAACAAAACCAGAAAAGGCAAAACAGGATAAAGGGAAGGAATAAAGAAAAGAAAAATTTTAAGGTATAAGGAACAGTGCCAGATTGGTTTATCACCTTGATTCAGCTAACATCTTTTCTGAGTGCCTACTATGTATATGGCATGGTATTTATAAAATGTAGAATCTGAGTATCCAAAAAAGTTTAACTAGTCAAAATGAGAATGTAGATTATGAAGTTAAAAAAACCTTAGGGGCTACAGGATTGGAGCAGGTCAGGGATGTGGCCAAGTGGTATAATAGTCGCCTTGCATGTGTGGCCCTAGGTTCAATTTCTGGCACCACACATGCATACTTATATACATGCATATCAACCACTGAACCAGGGATGTGGCTCAGTAATAGGGCATGCTCTCCCAAGAAGTTCTTCTATCCCAGCTCTGTGTGGCTCCTGGGTGTGACTTCCACAATAAAAACAAAAGTTAGGAGTTAAAATAAATCCTTGCATAAACCTGTCAAAATTTCTTGAGTCTATCAAATAATTTTAGGGCTGAAGCAATAGTACATTGGGTAGGGAATTTATTTTGCACACAGTGGAACTGGGTTTAGACGTCTCAGGACCTGGTATGGCCCCCTGTGCCAATCAAGAGTGATCCCTGAGTGGAGAGCCAAGAGTTAATCCTGTGCACAACCAGGTATGGTCCAATATGCAACGATAATTTTAAATAGTTTGGTTTATGAATGGTTTGAGGGTACTGCCTGGTACTGCTCAGAGGTTACTCTTATCAGTACTTGGGGGACCATAGGAATCAAACCAAGGTCAACTGCGTGCAAGGTATGTGCCTTAATTCCTGTACCATCTGTTTGGTCTCTAAAAATAGCATTAAAAACAATTTAGAAATTTTTAAGGGGCCAGAAAGATCAAGGTAATGAGTTCAAACCTTAGTGACATTGCATAAACTAAGAAGAGTCGTGTAGTTTTTGATTGCCATAAAGAGGAAAAAAAAAAAGACTTCAAAGCAATGAAAAGAGTTCAACTCCAGTAGTACCTGCAAGTGATGACATCATCCTGACAGCCCTGCTGGTAAGGATCCTGGCAAAACAAAGTCCTGAAAGATGGCTAAGTGACCGAGAAAGTACCCAGAGCAAGCATGAGCTACTGAGCTCAATGCCTGGTATGATATATGTGTATTATACCACCTTATTTCTGGGGTCTACTGCTATGAGCAAAAAAATTTTTTTCTAAGGCTATCTGATACATAAATTAATAAAATGTTATGGAAGTTTAGGCAATTTTCTTATTGCTGTTAAAATAATAAGTGAGGGGCTAGAGTGATAGCACAGCGAGTAGGGCATTTGCCTTGCACGCGGCCAACCCAGGTTCGATTCCCAGCATCCCATATGGTCCCCTGAACACCGCTAGGAGTAATTCCTGAGTGCAGAGCCAGGAGTAACCCCTGAGTATCGCCAGGTGTGACCCAAAAAGCAAAAATAAATAAACAAATAAATAAATTAAATAAAAAAGTGAACTATTAGCTCTTTCTCCCCCTTCCCTGTAATCACATACAAAGGAAGAAAATCGTTCTACTAATTCCAAGAAAACATCAATCATGTCTGAGGAAGCCACTTTAGATGACCAAATAAAGAATAATTGTTAGATGAGTCAGTTACATGATCTTAAGGCTTAATGCATCTCCGACTCCATTAGCCTCATGTGGGCACCTTTACTATAGGAATATTATAAAAACAGATTCTGTGGCTTTTCTATTTAAAACCCTTCAATGGTTCCCTACTATTCTTAGGATAGTCTACTATAATTTTGTGCTACATAGTACTTGATACCTTTTCTAACTTCATCTTGAGTTCCTAAATCTGTGCAATTTCCTTGTATTAGGGGCTTCATCTGTGATCTTCTCTTGGAACATTTCCCCAGAATTTGTCTATTTGCTCATTCTTTAATAATCAGTTTAAATGTTATCGCTTTTTAGTTTATTAGAATAAAATTAAGAGATGGCCAGAGACATAGTATAGTGGACAAGGAGCTTGCCTTGCATACACCAGATCTATTCAATCCCTGGTATAGCATATGTTCCTCCATATACCTCCAGGAATGATCCCTAAGCATAGAGCTCTAAGCACAAATGGATGTGCTCTCCCCCTCCCCCTTGCAAAAAAAATTAAAAGGTTCCAGGACTGAGCATATGCTTTGCATGCAGGAGATGCAGGTTCAATCCCCAGTGCCACATGGTCCCCTGATCACTGCCTGGTATGGCCAGAAACAGCAACAATAACAACAGCTGAAAAAAAGATTATGTCTCTATTAAGTGGTCTCACATAATTCTACACATGGCCTTGAAGTATTCATTCTTTATCACACCAACTACCACCCACTAAAGTATATGCTTAAGGAGTACATGAATCATGTTTGTCTTGTTCCCAGAGTCTGGGACAATGCTTTATACATAGGAAAAAGGGATGTCTGTTGATATGAGTGAATGTGTGATTAATACTGGTTAAATCAACTCCATGCTTACTTCATTTTAGTGTGTATGTGTTTGAGTGAAGTAGACATTTCATTTAAAAAGGGAAAAAAACTATTCAAGAGAATGCAAACTGCTACAGGGAAAAGAGGTCATGGACTAAAAAGAAGCAAAATAAAGAAATTACACACCCCAATATAGGATGTAGGCAATTCGACAATTCTAAAAATGCAGTGGCACCTGTTTTTCTTTGTGAAAGTGTTGGGGATATAGCTGGTACTGCTGTGGGACTACTCCAGGCTCTGCCTGAGTCGCTCCCAGCAGTGCTCAGGGCTTACTCATGGCTCTGTGCTTAGGGGTCACTTTAGAAGGTACTCAGTCAGAAGACCACATGCAATGCCAGGGATCAAAACAAAATTGGCTGCAAGCAAGATAATGCCTTAACTTCTGTAATATTTCTCCAGTATCCATCATCTGATTTTTCCCCCCAGATTTTATTGAATCACCATGAGATAGTTATAAAAAGTTGTTCATGATGAAGTTTCAATTGTACAATGTTCCAACCCTCATACCTTTACTAGTGTACATATTCTACCACCAATGTCCCCCGTTTCCCTCTAGCCACCTCCCCTGTTTTTTGGCATTATGGTTTGCAATATAGGTACTGAAAAATTATCATGTAAATCCCTTTACCTCCTTTCAGCACTCACTTCTTGTCCAGAGAGATCATTTCCAACTATCATTGTCATAGTGGTCTCTTCTTTGTACTAACTGTCCTCCCCATCCACCACTTGTGGCAAGCTTCTAACCATGGACCAGTTCTGGCTTTGTTTCCACTGCCTTTGGCTATTAGTCTCCTACTCTGATTTTTTAAAAAGCTCTTTTCACTACTTTTTAAAACAATAATGCAGAAGCACAGTGAACTAAAGAACTGAAGAGACTAATTCCTATTCTTTTACATATTTTTCTTCTAAATGATGCCTTATTTTCTATATCGTTTTCCTTCTTGACTGGATCATTCCTATCGGTACTCAAATATGCCCTGATATTACTCATCTTTAAAAGCACTTCCTCTTGAGACAAGAGAGACAGTATGTGGGATAAAGATGCTTGCTTTGCATACAGATGACTCCCCAGTTTCATTCCCTGAACCATATGTGGTACCCTGACCATTGCCAGGAATGATTCCTGAGCACAGATCCAAGAATAAGCCCTAAGCATTCTAAGGTGTTTCAACCCCCACCCCAATAAATTTACCAAAAAAAAAAAAAACCCACAAAAAACCTTTTTAAGTCCTACTACTCTCATACTTCTAACAAACCTTTCCAACTCACTACAGGGCTATATCCAGTATCTTACCTCTCACCTTCCAATAACCCAGACTAATCTAGTTTTTCAATCCCAATTATTACACTTAAAACTTCTTGTTAAAATCACCCTACATGGGGCTAGAGCGATAGCACAGTGGTTAGGGCGTTTGCCTTGCACGCGGCTGACCCGGGATCAATTCCCAGCATCCCATATGGTCCCCTGAGCACTGCCAGGAGTGATTCCTGAATGCAAAGCCAGTAGTAACCCCTGAGCATCGCTGGGTATGACCCAAAAAAGGAAAAAAAAGTCACCCTACAAAGAGAGGACTAGTAAATAAATGTATACAGAAATATAAACCAAAATATGGGCTATATTTTTAAAAAGAATTTTAAACACATAAAGTGGGAAAACTAAGTCTAATCAGAATTAAGATCAGGGGGCTGGGAGTAGGGGTAGAATATTGGTCTGGCATGTATGAGGCTCTGGATTTGATTTCCTGCATCAACTCATGCCCTGTCCCTCTGCCCTGAGAAAACAAAACAAGACTACATTAGGAACTAATAGACTGAAAACAAGGAATATCTGAAATAACAAAGGCTTAGGATTTTATAAAACAATTAAATTTTTTGTTTTTTCCATTTCTTTTGTTTTTTTTAATTCTTCTCTTTGCTTTGACTTTATAGAAACTATATGATTTCTAGTTATATATTAACTGATTAGTTAATTTCTATTTTAATACTTAACAATATTCAAAAGCTACTAATTTCCTTCTTCCCATAGATAAAATCTTTCGAAGAGTTTTAAGTCTGATGACCCCTTCAATAGTCCTCCTTTCAAAATAAGCATCAAAAGAAGTTTTTATCTTTTGACATTTGCATCTATTCTGATATTTACCAA